TGATGCCCACAGAGTAGCCCATGACATTTCAGTTCTGTTTGCATGAGTATTTACCTAGAGGACAAGTGTTTCCTGCTGTGTCACATCTCATCTGTTGTTGATAAACTCACTGTTTTCTTACGTGCTACTGTAGATGTTTGGCAATTGCAGGTGTGTGGCAGTGACTGATACCCACTCAGGAAACCTGACAGCAACTCTGGGCCAGTGTCCACTGAGGGACAGCTGTGAAAAAATCTTTCCATATTTCCTGGTTCTGTCTGTGCTCAGTTCCTTCATAATCTCTCTCGGGGGAACACCAGGCTTTGTGCTGCTCATCAGGTCTGTCAGCAGCTGTCTTGTAAAAAGGAAATCACTAGACTCTTTTCACATGCAGGCTGTTGATGATGCAGTATATCTTGTCATCATCTTGTCATTTTTGGACAGATTACACTTCCCAGAAAAAAAAAGATCACTTCATTTGATAGAGTATCATTAGTGGAGATATTTTCAGAAATTACTAAAACTGTCATAAAATGCATTTTTCTACTTTTATACCTTAAAGCATCTTGTCACTGTATTGTTCAACTGTAGTGTATCTTTCAATACAAAAAAGTGTACATCTCACTGTTACTCTTTAGGTGTTGTGAATCTCCTTTAATGACTCAGTCTTGTCTCTGTAGATGCATTAAACCTGAGCTGAAATCTCTAGCACTTGGAATCCACACCTTAGCCACTCGCACACTTGGTGAGAATCATCTTCGATATTCTGTGCTTTACTGTCTGTTTAGTTTGCATTCAGGCATGTGGAAATCTCCTGGCATTTTGGAATGAGCAGAATTACTGGAATAATGTTGAAGCTCATCATTATATAGTTAAAAAATGTAAACATGTATTTGATTTTTATTTGAAGTAACAAGTTATTTCAAATTGCACAACAGCTGGAATACCTGCCCCTATATACTTTGGAGCCATAATTGATACAACCTGCCTCAAATGGGGATACAAAATGTGTGGAGGAAGAGGAGCATGCAGAATATACAACACCACAGCTTACAGGTAAATTTAGCTCTGCATGGCAGATCCACTAAGATGTTTTTGAAACTCTTCAGCTGTAATGCTCATTAATAAAAATATTCTCTGATTTAAAAATAGAGAGAACTTTACTATTTACTTACTTAAAGTCTTATAACATGTAAGTTTGTCATACGTTTGGTATTAGAAGGCTGACTTACTCTCACTCCGGACTAATTAAGAGGCTGCTACTTTTGTAAGGGGCCTCTTTAGATAGCCAGAAGGCTAAGTCACACCTTCCCCTCTGCCCCAGATGAACAAATTTGTTCTTAAGGGCACTTGGTGAATGAGACCCATTGATGTAAAATGCACTTAACTTATGTAGGCTTAAGGCAGGAACTGTGCTTTTTCCTCAGAGAGCGGCAGCTTGACTCTGGTATATTTAATTTGTACCCTAACAGTGTTGTTTCCTTTGTTGCAGGATAGTGTACCTGGGCCTGACACTAGGCTTGAGGACAGTCTCCTTCTTCTTTTGTATTTTGTACTTTGCTTTACTCAAAAGACACGTTAAGAGAGAGGAGAAAAATGCTGTGGCCAATGGGAGTGCAGAATTGGAATCAGTAAAGAAAGAGGAGAGCAGCACCGTGCACTGTGGGCAAGTTATACTGGCTTTGGACTGCAGTCCTGACAGAGAAACGCACTTGTGAGTCTCAGCACAACCTCGTCTCTTCTGACTCAGCTCCATGGAGCACCTCGGATGTGTGGGGGAACATACACTGTGGACACCTTTCATAGCACACAGAGTATATATTTGTATAGGACTTGTTTAGATGTAGGATATCTGATGAGTCATTTTATGAACATCATATGCTATTTCAGGGATGTATAAATTGATGTGTTTGTCTTTCAAGGTTGGAAGACCTTTGTAGAAAAATAGAATGTAATTGTGTAGTATTTTCTATGTTTGTCTTTGTTTTTATTAATGAACTTGATCAAATTGATTTTCAGATTCTACAATTTATTAAGGTGCTTGAATAAGACTGTTAAACAGTATAATTTCAGTCTTGTTCTCATGGCTTTGATTGCATTTCAGGAGACATATACAAGTCAAACAGGTCTGTAGACTTTGCAACTGTGACTGTGGACACGCTGTGGTAAAGTAAGGGTTTCAACCTGTGAACGAATGACATCAACTATCAAACCAAAGCTACAATATCCCTTTGGCATACACAACTATCACTTCCTGTACAGATATGACAGAAACCATTCCTTCAGTAAGATCAGTTTCATTTCTCTTTGTGGCTTTGACAATCAAACGTCTGAGTCTACTGTAACTACAGTAGCCAATCTGCCATTTCTAGCATTAAGAACAAAATGTCAAACACCAGTTTTACGTCAGCATGAATGAGAAGTCCTAAAATGCCCAGAATCATGGAACATGTGGACATCTATGACAAAGTTAGTCTGCTGATGAGGACTGTATGTTCAGTAGTAGACCTTGAGTTGACATTGTCAGTCTGTCAATCTCTGCAATAAATCTAATATGTTTGGAGTCCTAACTTAATTCTATTCATGTATATTCTATAATGGTATGCACATTCTGACAGAAGGACCCTACTGTGGTGGTCTGGTTATACACATTTAGAGTAAACATAAAAGTCAACATAGAGTAAGCATTTTTGGATTGTGCATTGGCATGTATGTCATGTTTTGTTTGTGTTACCTGAAGCTGATGGTGTTTCCTCAATAGTCTTTCATCTTCTCATTTCAGACCTTTGGCATGTCTCCTCATGGCCTCCACTTCAGCATGAGACTTGTGCACAGCTACCCACACACACAAAAACAGTACTCTATCTAAAAAAAATCGCTCTTTAATTAGCTTCTTTCATAATAACACAGCTAGTGTTTTATGCCAGAAGTGACCTACAGCTTAATGAGTGATAATTATAGCTTTTTGTGAATAATTTTTGTATGAAGTGCAAAGACGTGTATCAATGCAGAGGATCCTATTTTAATGCAGTTATAATTACTCACCTTTCTTGGCAGCCTTCAGTTGACCTGCCAACGTTTTAACCTCCAGCATCAGTTGCTGCTTTTTTTTTTTTTGCTGACATAGATTTTTTGTCATCAAGGAGGGAGACTGCACACAAAGGATTATCTGTGATTAATCAATTTAAATGTTTGATTTTAACAGGAGACAACAGAGCTCGTGCAAAATAGAAATCACAGAAACACCTCTGTGAAATACAGTATGAGTTAAATTACAGTGTACAGTATTAAATAAGTGGACATGACCCAGAAGCATTTAAAAATGCAAAGTTATACTATAAACTGTTTTTTTTAAGACAAAAGAAAAGTGCTTGTGCTTTCTCACTTTTTGAGCATCAGGGTGTTTGCCTGGTACTGCCTGGCTGTTATGACAACGTGGTTCATCTGAGCCTGAAGGCCTGCACTGTTCTCCAAGGTTACAGCAACCGGGTTTAGCAGGGTGACAACCCGACGCATGATACTGTGATGAGTTCACAGGAGAGGAAAAGACCAGAGACTAAAGAAATAAAGGCAGGACAAGACAAGACCCCAGGAATTGAATTGTAAAAGCATACATAAGACAGTAGATGGTCATGTGGAAAGTAATATTTATTCCAAACACACTTTTCTGTTGTTCTGAATAAATGTGAAAAAGAATTTCACTTACATCCAGAGGACGAGTGAGAAGCCAGATGCATAGAGGTTCCTCTGCGCTCCAAAGAGCTTCACGTGGATATGGTCATCCAGACTGGGCTCACCTTGTTATCTTGTATGAGTTCAAGGCCTGAGTACTTCTGCACCTCACAAACAGCATTTGAAGGTGAACAGGAGAACAGAAGCATAGTGATGCTGCCTGGGCTGGACAGACAACATGTTGTCAGTCTGTTCAATATTCAGTGTCTGTCTCTCACAACAGGAAAAGAACAATAACAACCATAGCAAAGGAGCATTTGTTCCAGTATGGAAACAACCAGTTCCATATTCTCCAGCTGAAAACCAAATGCCATCTACAAAGCAGGTCAAAGGGGCACTATGAGAGTAACCGTCATAATACACTGTAGATGTACCTAGAAAAGAAGTGGGTGCACTCTGCTGGTGATTGTTGTGAAGTGCCTCTTTCAGTTTGCATATGTATTTATTTATTCTTGACATATTTTCACGGATTCAGAAAATGGGCTCCTGCACACTAAGCTGACCATATGGGGGAACTCTTGATTATGTTTTGGATTTGTGTGTTAAATTGTATTACCTCTGGGGTGATATGAAGGCTATACACAAGAAGATGTTGACTGCTAACTCTGTATAGAAGAAGAAAGCCACAACTGTCCACTGGAGAGTCATTGTGACTCTGACTTCCTGAGGACATTTACAATAATGAAAATGCAAAAATGGTTCTATATTTTTATTTATGTTACTGTATGCTAGTCTTTTATATTGTGGAGTAGCTTTGTGAGCATACACATACAAAATGTTTCAGTAACCCTACTTCATACAAGTAGCCACAACAGTCATTCATAACCTTTGGCTATTTAAAGACTTTGACCTGCAAGTCTATTCAATCTAATCTTTGCCAGTTGCTGTTCTCATTTTGTATAAGAGTGTAAGGTAGTCAGTCTATTGCAATCAATAAACTGTGTTGTTTGTTTACCAGACAAAGATGAATGAACAGAAGAATGGGAAAATGTAGACACATGTGCTCACGCATTCACAACAGCTGCTGGAGAGCACCAGAGGACTCACAGCCCTATAAAACTCTGCTGGCCCGTTGACCTCGTTTGTCAGCCCCTTTGAATTTGTTAACCTTTAGATTCACCAAATGCTTTCTTTTCAGGCTACCAAATGACTTCAAGGCTCATCTTGTGGACCAGCATTCGAGTATGAGTGTATTTGTTGGTGCCTTCTCACGTTTCACGTCACAGTCCAAAAATAGTTATGAGAGGAAGAACTCTCTTTTAAAATAACAATTAACATTTAGTGTTTGACATTTATCCACAATTTTCTACCGTATACAAGCAGATTTCATACTTTGAATATCTCTTTGGATATGCTGACTTTTCTTTTGTGCCTTTTACTACACGAAAGAATCCAATGTCCAGAAGGGGGCGATGTTATCTATTGATAAAATATACTGGAGTTTTGCACATGGGCAGAAAGTTGGTCCTGTGCTGTATGCTTTGCAATTATTGCAGTCAATTCAATTCAGATATTCTTTATGTATGAAACTGACATACTGACAAGCAGCAGTGTGAATACAGGGCCCTGTTTACACATCAGAGGTATATAAATAGTTGCTACTGAAATAGCAGATATGGGTTAATTGCAAAAGCTCATTCATTACAAACAGACTCAAATTTTGCTCTTTTAGTATCTTTGTGTGGCTTTTAAAATAAAATAAAACAGCTTTTGGCTTGCTCATAAACATACAGATTACATGGGTGTTACCCATCAGCAACAGAGACTGAAGGCATCCTTGAGCATACCATTGCTTTTAATATACTCTTCCTTTTGAATAATGAGATTTTTGACCTAATTCAGTTCCCTGGATTATTCTGTGTATTTTACCTACTGTATTCAGTTTGCAACATGTATTCACACTGGCTTCCTCTGTGAAAAAGACTAATAGCTGCTATCCTTCTTGACTGCATGTCTCAGGAGTGCTGAGGAGCAAAATGTTTACAGCTGCACCCTGTGATAGCTTTTTGAGAGCAGGCTAATGACTGTAGCAGAACTGAATGTGCTTTGATTGCTCTCCTCTCTTTGCCACCTCAGAGGTTGCAGCTCAGGAGACTCAAGAGTCATTTTAGTAAAATGCCTGCAATAAACAGATGGTCAGGCTACAGTGATGCAGTAGTGTGTGAAGTGGTGGAATGGAGTGATGTAACCTCACAACTCCATCCTTTTATTTATTGTATGTCTGCTGTATACAGCTACAGTAGTCAATGGGACAATGCATATCTTAAAGATTATATAAGATTGTTTTTATATAATGCAGGGGTTTTCAACTAATTGTGACAGGGACCACCATTCTGACTAAGAAGTTCCCAGAGGACCACTGTTATCGGGCCACTACACTAGATGGGCACTATTTTAATCCTGAAAGTCACCTTAGGTTTTCTAAATGTTTTATATTTGTATGAATTTGATCATTCAGAGGTGTTCCCTATATTCTGAACATCTCATGTATGTAGATGGGGAGGACAAAAATAGAGAGACACCTGTGAATATAATGTAGTCCAGTACAACACCACCTTTAACTATGACCTCAATAATAAACAGATAATTGAATTTATATATTTATGACAATTTCACCAACATTTTAGCTTCATAAACACAGAGGCGGACGTGTTGCATGGAAGTGCATGCATGAATGCTGTATTACAGGTGACACTGGCACTACAATTCCTTTCCTTGACTATTGGTGGCGCAAATCCAGAAGCGTATTCAGCCACCGGTGTATTTAGATATCGTAACCACATTATGCTGGGCTTCCAGTGAATGTCTACCATGATGACAGCTTCGTGTGTAGTAACTTTACTGTAAGAGCACTGAACTAAACGGAGTAATCGTGTCCGTACACTTCCGGAAGTGGTGAGGCCGTATATGGGAATATGCTGGATACTAGTTCCGTTTACCTTTGAGGACACGTGACGTTAAGACTCAGGTAAGCTACTGTCAGTGTTTTTAGCTGTTTGAATAACTGTGTAAATTTTGTTGGTTGTTTTTTCGCATTGTGTTTTAGAGTATGTATTCACAGAAACGAAAATGCTCTGTACATTTAGTCATTAGACATGTTAAGAAGTCTGTTGGCTTTAATTAACTCTCAAAAGATGCTACGGCTGCCACCTTTGGCCAATTTCCTCAACATTAAGTTAAGCTATCTGTTAACGAACTAGCTTAGTTGGTTTAGACAAATTCTGCTTATTGATATAGGCCTAATTATATCTCTTTTAATTCTTGTTATATGGCCAACCTGTAGAACGTCATGGACTATAAACATGTTTAGCTCTTAGTGCTGACTTTACACTACAACTAATAGCTTATTAATACCAATAACCTTTTGGACTTGATTGAATTAGATGTAACAGTATTTTGAAAAGGTTTCTGCATTTGTCTCATCACTGAATAAATAGCCAGTGTTTTAGGAGATACTTGATACTATTTCAGTGCTCTCACTGTTGGCTACACAAACATTCATGTGTGCTAAGGTGTTCACAAAACCTTAATCTAAACCAAATAAATTTGTAAACAAAATTATCCAGTGCATTTGTAGCCTGAAATGGTAGCTGTACAGTGCAAGAACATTTCATTGATCATGCAGGTAAATATCACTAGACAGCATGTTTCCTTTGTATCTCTGTATAAAAACAAAAACCACTCGTGCAGGATATGGGTAATTAATACTGTGACTGCTTCAGGTTCCACACTCAGAAGCCACCCATTTACAGTGGATGGTGCAGTTTAAGCAACAAAATATAGATATGCAGGCTTAATAATAGCTCTGTTTGTTCAATAAGGAAATGAAGCCAGATGATGACTTCACAGTAAATTCACTGTTCCCTTGCTATATAGACTGTTTCCCAGCAACACTATTTCAAGACGCACACACAGATAGGGTACAGAAAACAGTTTTACAGAGAGCTGTGGTAAGAGGAGTTGAGGGGGGTTTGTAGTGCAGCTAACGCTCCTACGGCCAGTATATCTGCCTCACTAGGCACAGGCATGCAGTCTCTCTCCCACACACTCGTCAAACACACTGCAGTGAACGCTCATGAAGAGGCTGCACTGCTGGGCTATTTTCTAGCAGAATTTGCATTTAGCTTCATTTTGTTCAGTATTGTAATGACTGAAGCTACAGAGTGCCCACATGATCAACACAACATCTCTCCTCTGTACCAGCTGTACAAGCTCTTCTTGTTGCCAGCTGCAGTTTCTCCAACATCTCAGCCATTTTTCCAACCTGACTGGACTGCAGGGTTATCTACAAGTCCTGAAACTACTAGGTAGAACACTGCCAACTCATCTTGAATTGATCCTCTCAGTGTAGTTGTGTACAGACTTTTAGTGTCATTTTTTAATTGTACCTTTAAGTGTTATCCTGCATAAAGGAGTGAATTGATCAAACATATCCATGTGATGAGTTTTCAATTAAGAAGCCTGCCAGAGGTGCAAATCAGAGCTGTAGAGCTTGAGAATGCTTTCAGGTAATTAGCAATGGGCCAATTGATATTTCTCCAGTTCCGATACACAACTGCCGATTCCGACACTGATCCAAGAGCTCTTTCATTTCAGTAAAACAATTAACAAAATATTAAATATATGTAATGATGGATAAGTGCAACCACCAGATGGTCAGAGGCCTAGGACACATGTGTCTCTAAATTACTGCACATTTACAGATCTCCACTTTTGGGCTAGAAATAAACGTGGATTTAGTTTTTCAAGATTTCACATTTACCATTTAAAATGTAGCCAACATTAGGGCATTAATGATTTATTATTAATAAAAAAAAAAAAATCTGTCTCATCTGTCTTTGTATCAGGGGTCCAGTAAAGTGACAACTGAATAGAGGGGATCACCTTCAAGGCAGCTGACATCTGAGGTCCAAATATCCGTTGTGAAGCTCATGGTTTTAACATCTGCTAACTGTGATGACACTCAAGTTGTATGGGTCGGGGATAACAGTCTCTGAAATATACTGTATGTTCTGGAATGGCAAATTATACCCAGTCTCCAACACGCTGCGAAATCTGTCATTTGCCACTTCAGAATGTGGCTGGGCATCGAGTATAATGAAGTTTAGTAACTTCTCTGTAATCTGTTTAGGGTTTGGGTTGTCTGCTGGCAGTGTATGCATTTGCAGGTGCTTGATTAAATAGGTTGTACTGTATGATGAAACTGTATTCCACCTCTTGGCACCCTGGCTTTACACGCATTACAAGTAACTGTCCTGCTTTTCTGCATTTCCAGACTAAAATATCTCCAAACAAGTGACATTTTAGTCAAACCAACATTAATGTTATTTGTTCACTCGGTTACAGACTTAAATTGCGGTGGATTTATGGTAAGATGTGAAATGGAATCTGGATCAGTGACATGTCTCATGTTATATTATGTTAGGTTACACCGGGTTCATGGTCCAGCGCAAGCTGCAGACTGGAATATCTGATGAGTGAATGACATCAATATCGGACCTGATGCTGATATAGGATGGGATCAGGCCCATTTCTATAGGTAATTCATTAGAGGATGTGGTCATAGTTAAGTTCACTCTTAAATGTTTATATAGAGGCTAAGTACAGTAACTAGCTCTTGATTAAAGGGCCAGCTACTGCTCATATGGTGTAGTCATGTGTGACTGTTATGACAGAGGACACTTGGATGAGAGTGGAGTCTGTTTAAAATGTAACAGTCTATTTTGTCTTTAGCAAATACAAAAGCTGTCCATTTTGTGTCAGACTCAAGCTGCCAGGCTGTTTTAGTGAGCTTTGTTGTGTTGGTCCCATTCATATCTTTCTGTGTGTAGAGAAGAATGGCGGTACAATCACCAGGCAGCAGTCATCACTGTGTGAAGAGCTGGAGGGCAGCAATCTTCTCTCAGCTGTCTCCTCTCTTACACACAGCGGTTGACACTCTGTCACTGCCTGATAAAACTATTGGATTCGCACATGGTGGCATGCGCTTACATTATGGACATAGCTGCACATGCAACTGGGTATGCTGGACTATAGACCCACACCACGCTGCATAGATGGATGCACAAACACACACACACACAATCACGCACTGACTGGCAGGTGCAGACACACATAGCGACAGGGCATGCGGCCATGTCAACACCAAACCTCTTACTTCTTTATGTGCTTCATGTTTTTGTGTAAACTGTATACTTTATACAGTTGGAAGATAAAGGCAGGTGACACCAAATCTATTGCAGGTGTGTGAGATTGCAGTCAGACCTGTTTGTGCCTTTTATACACCTACACATACTCATTTTTCTGAGCCTGGAACATTTGTGTGTTTCTGGGGTCACATCGGTAGTTCTTTTGCAAGTCAGAGATTAGCGAACAAACCGACAATTTTTCAATAGCGTATTTTTATATTGACTTGTATTGTTTGGGGTCAAAGTTTTAAACGGGACACATATTTGATCTACACAGAGAGATGGTGTTCTTGACAGTGTTGTTTTTCCAGATATCTAAAGTAATCCTGCACTGCTGATTTGAATTTCTTTTTGGTAGATGGACTTGGGTGATTTCATTTTTTTTTTTTTTTTTTTTTTTGGGCTGGATGGAGTTTGGTGATGGGCCATCTGTCGCCGCCTCCTCTCTGCCATTTGCCTGCTGCGTGTGTGTATGTGGCGCCCGTTGTGGAGTCTGACAGGAAGTCGGGGAAGAAAGGTGCAGGTACATTGTGTTTTTCCCTCAGTAATGCTAATAAGCAAATATGCATTGTATGATAACTGTAAATTTTCATAGCGTGGATTTAAAACATAAGACAAGAGCATCATTTCAAAATGGAGTGTGACACAATAATAATTTTCTCGATTATCTAGCTCTCACAATCATTGGTAGCCAAAATTGTAATTGAAAATAAAATTAGATTAATTGCTGGCCCTGATGAACATGATTTGTGCTAAAGATATTCCTTTTATTTGGTGTTTTGATGATGGTGGTGTAGAGCGGTGTCTAACACATCTGTCCAAAATCTCCCATAGATGTTCAACTGGGTTGAGATCTGGTGGCTACAAAGGCTATAGCATATGGTTCCCATGCTTTTCATACTGGTCATACTCACTTCCGGATATGGAAGAGACCGCTCATTTGTTCAGGTTTTTCTTTTCGCTTGTCACCCACCTTTATCTTCCAACTGTATAAAGTGTCCTTCCATCTTTCTAAATGTGGCTTGTTGAGAGTAACATTTGGAAATGACCACAACCTACAATTTGCCAAGCAGTGCTGGTCGGTGTGCTCAATTCACTGTCTTCTTTTCTACAATAGCAGAATTACAGTTGAGTGTTTGCTGACCTAATGCAATAGAGGCTCCATACGGACAGAGTAATGTGATTTCCCAGGCTTTTATTCTGTGTCTGGGCTGGACAGAGAGAGGCCCTGAAGAGATGCCATCTGAAATGGAGATGGTAAGAGAGGCAGAAAGGGAAGGACAAAGCCTATGTGATAGGGACAGCAGCAAGTAGCAGCCTTAACATGATGTATTAGGGAGAAGGAGGAGGACACATCAGGGTCAAGTGAGTGTAATAAGGCTTGTAGTGAAGCATCACTGAACCTCTGTGTTGACTGTGGTAGTGTATTGACTTGTATCTGCTGTCACCTCAGGTTGATGGTGTTGTTGTGGCCTGCTACCCTGCTCAAAATGTGATTAACATGTAGATATATATACAGTATAGCTGTGACATGTTGGAGGAAGACATGAGGTAAGACTCGCTGTGTAAACTATATAGGTTTTGTATACATTATCAGGCACATGCTAAACAGCATGTTTTGTATGTCACATTTGATTTTTAAGTTTCATTAATTCATGTTTTTATATTAATTAACACTATGTCACTGTTAGAAACTTGACAAACAGTGGTCTATACTCACTGGTTCAGCATGAACCATGGCCTGTGGCCACAAAAAGTTACTGTCTGGCCACCATATATTCCAGCAGGTGGCCCACTGTGGCCACCAAGCTTTATCAAGTCTCTACTGAGAATGAGACCCCATGTCTCAGAGTTCCTGCACATTGCCAGTGCAGCGTTAACATTCCGCAAACATCAAACTTCATCTGCACTTCATTCCCAAAAATGTATGTTGGCCATCAAATTTAGGGGCTTGGTGGCCTGTGGGGCTGGTGCTTAAAAATATTAGTGTCTATGCCTGTTGTTTCTTTGCCCTGGGTGGTCAAAAATTACTTGATGCATGTTTAAAATTAAATTATATTTTATTATAATGATGAAATTGAGACAAAATTGGAGTCACAGGTCATTGCCTAGTTGTCCAAAACAACTTGTTAAAACATAACCCAAAGCTCTGAACAATATAGATCTAGTATTTAATCTGACTGTTAGAGTTCAGATATTTAGAGATAACTCTAAATGCCAGTGGGGCATTCCCTCTGATCCTGATCCTCTTTCCTTTCTCTTGAGGAGATTTAGATGAAGTGTTTTGTTTTGTTTTCCCAGAATGAGAATAAAACAAAACAATATCTACATGTTATAAAAATATAATTTTGTACTGATTAACCGGACCAGCTAACTTCTCCTTCCCAGTACTTGTGCTGATTCTGTGTCAGCTAAAAATAACATGAAGTGAACAGATACACCAGCCACTGTGATAGTGAGAACAAAATACCCTCCTCCCAAACAGAAAATGACCAACAAAAAGTGAATGTCTGACCAAATAACGGGAGTGTTAACAAAATGGCAATTCAGTCAGAACATTATCCTATGTTAGTTGGGCTTGACGGACCTTTTTGTTTTTTTGTCAGTGTGACTGTACCGAAGGATGGAAAACAAATTGTTGGCGTAAATAGTATTGATCTTTGAGAGGTAATTTTAGAAGGTAATCAATACAAATGACGTTATCCAGTAGCACTAATCAAGCTGGGAATAGTACCTGACACTTGAGCAGTTGTTCACTTTATAGTGCTAGTGCAAATAAGTCTATATGTTTATATATTGATAGCCCATCTTTTTGTACTCGCATAGCTTAGTGTGTTAAATGTATCCTCTGGCTCAGTGTTTCATCTCATAGGTCATTTTCCCTCCCTGTCAGCTGACCTGTTGTTGGTTGTGATCCTTTTTCCACTCTCAATCACAGACCTGCCCTCTAGGCACTGTGACATCCACACTGCCTGTTTACAGCAGGGTCATAAAGAACCTTGCCTGCAACAATATTCCCATAACAGTGCTCTCTGTTGTGCTTCAAAACACACACTGACAGCCTGAGAAGCATTAAATTAAGGTTGAGTAATTGTTATGGTAACCAATAGCCCTGTGCTGTCAGGATCTAAAGGGCTCTTCAGTTTTTGTATGTGTACATTTCTGCATCAATACACTGTGTATATACCCACCTCTTGTATTGGATTGTAATGAAGTGGGCTGCCAGGCTAGCTGAGCATGGCTTGATATGCTAATGCCTTTGTAACGTTGTATCTCGTTTCCCTGTTAGTGTAGACTGACTGTAATAAGGTGACTTTTGTTTTCTTGATGATTATTACAGCTGAAATTCTTCTGCAGCTGTATGAATAAATTATCCCTACTTATTCTGGGCAATCTTTATTCAATTTGAGATTAAAATACAAGGCTGGCTGCATTATCATCTGCCAGCAATAGCCACTTAGGAAATACAGTTTCACAGTCTTACTCGTTGACAGACAAAATAGGGCATGCACTATTGGTAAATACACACAGGCAGGAAATAACTTCATTATCTGTTATTTTGTATTGTAAATAGAATCTTTTATTATGCCTTAAGATTTTTGCAGTAGTTCTTTATTGCAGTAATGGATTTGTTTATTTAGAGAGCATTGTTGCTAGTGGTGTTAAAAACAAACATTGTAATAATACAACTATTTTCAACATTTTCTTTTAGTTTGATTAAATAGCATCCATATGAAAACATACCATCTGGGAAATCTGTTACCTTTCAGAATTTCAATACGTGCTCCTCTTGTCGCAGTCCCTGGCCCACCATACAATCATGCTCAATTTATCATACCAGTGTAAGGCAACTGTAGATTTTCCATTTGGCTCAAAGAGGAGATAGTTAAAGTGAAACAGTCTAGGTTTGGATTACATCTGGTTTATGTCAAACAAGACAATACACTTGTGTAGTGTCTAATGAATGTGAGTGGTCTTCTGTAACTCTAAAGGTAGTCATTGTGTTACCATCATAACTTTTATGATATAGGAACATTTCTGTTTCTTCACATTTGACTTGTCTGTCATTGTTGCATACCCTGTACTTGTAGACTTATTTCAGTCTAAGGGCCTTCCCTCTGAGGACTCCCAGGTAATAAGGTCAGTGGTCAATGGGGACTGCAGAGTCTGGTGTTGGAGCAAGTGGCATGGTGATGAATGGGAGTAATCTCACAGCTGTTACAGAATCACAAACACTTTACCCGGGGGAGGGGAGAATAGGAAGCCGTTTGCTGTGTTAGGTAAGTGAACACAAGATTTATTATAAATATACATAACAAGTCCTACTTTTCTCTCTATTTATATACCTTGTTTACCCTATGCTGTACATGTATTAGGTATATACACAATGTACTGTGTGTTGCAAAGCCATGCAATATCTACAGTACAGTATATGGTACATCTATGAAACCTACTTTTGTTGTCAATAAATAGTAATAAATTATCCATCTCTTGTTTTTGTACATTCCATTACATGTATTATTTACATATCTGCTTTGGATTAACATTTTCCCTTTTTCATCATGACCTGATATCAGTTGTAGCTGCTTTTAATAACTGTATACCCTAAAGATAATGAGTTCCTTCACTCCACGTCTTCAGAAGATAAACATTTTTGTCGGGCATCTTTGTCATCAAATGTCACCTTTTTGTTCCTCTTTGGGTCAATCCAGGAATTGTGGATAATAGCATTATTAGGGGTAGGATCTGCTTCAATGATGGACACCACCCTCTTTTTCATCTTGCTTTTCAAGACTTTCTGGAACTTCTGCCTAGTGAAAGCATAGAGTAGAGGGTGGAATATAGTAGTCCCATAAGCCATGACCAGGAAGCCCAGTCTTAACTTGACCATGAGGTCGCTGGGTCCCACACTCAGAATGACTGTGTTGAGTACTGTGATGGGTGTCCAGCACAAAAGAAACGTAGACACAATCAGCAAGGACATCCTGAAAACTCTTTTTTGACGCTCTCGTCTTTCTCTGTGGCGTTTAACAGCCCTGCGCAAGGCAATAATTACAGAGACAGAGGTACGCATGCCCAGTGTTGTGTTGCGACTGCCACTACTCTGGGATCCATCTGTGGTTTCCTGCTGTGTTGTCATGGCTGTCATGGATGGACGCTTTTTTCTGCGAGCCTTTTTCTTCTGTGAAGCATGGAAACGTGTGCCAATACGAATATTGAGTGCTTGCAGGATCTTTGAGTAGGTGATGAGCATAACAACAGCAGTAAAGAAGAAAATAGGAATCTGAGCAAGTAAGTGGTAATAGAGGCCAAGTTCTGTGTAGTACTGGTTAGTGTGAACCACATTTTCCACCAGTGTTTGGTTCAGCTCTGAATGGCCTTGGGCAAAGAAGCCCACCTCAATAAAGGGTACAAGAAAACTAACAAAGGCTAGCACCCAAATGACAGCGAGCAGGGCCAGGGCACGGCCCATTGTCAGCACCCGGTTGGCTGGTTTGACTGAGATGTCGTAGCGGTCAAGAGTGATGGCAAGCACATTAGCAGCAGTGGCAACACTAGCGAATGAAACACAGGCTTCATGGAAGCAGCAGACAAGGGCTGTGTCTCTGTCTAGGGAGAGCAGCACCACCACTATTGTAAGAGGGATGCAGCACACACAAACCAACACATCCAACACATGGAGGTTCATAGTGACGATGTTACTGACAGAGCTAATGAGGTTCGACTTCATACAGTAGAGGGCAAGCACAGTGAGGTTAGAGCTCAGGCCCAGAAGGATTTCCAGCATGAGGAAGCCAGTCAGAGAGACCTGAAAACTAACAGGATAAGGATAGGGGCTGGGGGTTGCCATACTCATGGTACGGCTGATAGGTTCAGTGTTGTCGGTGACTGTGACGTTGCTCATGGCGGCTTCTTGTTCCAGGTGGGGAAGGATATGCATTATCCTGCATGAAGGAAGAAAGAGAAAAGAATTTATGAGGAGGAAAAGAAGAGGTCTGTGTTTGTGCATCTCTGGAAAACTGTAATTAACACACATCTGAGAAATGGTGTCGGATGTAATCCTGCCGGTTAAAATTATAATGAAGCATTTTGAGTTTAAATGAGAAATGCTGAGAGCAGACATTGACTAGTACTGTAATTTTTTTTTTCCTGCTGTGCAGATTAGAGTTTCTCACTATGTACATGACATAACTAGAAACTGTCTTGCTTCGGTTTGTGCTGTAGTTACCACCGTCTTTGATCAGACAGTCGCATCCAAAGCGGAGGCGCATCACAAAACAGAAACCCTAAGGAACAAATTAAGTTCTTATAACCACATACCTGTACATGGCTTTGTAGTGAATCAGCTGTGGATTTAATTCAAGCCGCCAGTTTTAATGTATTAGCATTTACCTTACACAGAATGAGTATGGACTGGAAATAATAAAGGAGGATGAAGATCATGAGGAAAGCAGATTTTACCTCAGGTTAGTGGGATCATTTTACAAAGGGGGATATGTAATAAAATACTTGGTATGGTCTTTGATAATTAAACATCATTTCAGACAGTGTTTTAGTTGTTGTCCATTTACAAGGGAATAGGGGTGTAATGATATTTGCAATTTCACACTATCGTGAAAAAATGTCTCTACCATTGTGGGACTGATGGTATCTACCAGGATATTACATAGTAAGATGCATTTCTTTTTCTTTTTTTTTTTTTTTTTGCTTTTTCTTATTTTGTTTTGTGGACTTTTTATGTGGTAATATTGTACTGTGAATTTTTGGTATTGCTACATACTCAGAGTAGAGAAGGTTCATGGTAAATAAGAATATTCTCCCAGATAATCATGTTTACGCCATCATCAGCAGGCTTCTAAGTCTCAGTGGCGGGGTAATAAGAAAGTTATGTGGGGGGGGGGGGGGGGGGGTGTTGGGCAGAGCTTTAGTTGAAGGACTATCAAGCCAAAACAAGTATGGAGTGAGGAGGAATCTCTTAATATACATGCACCAATTCAAAAACAAATGCATAGAATAACTGATCAGCAGATGCAATAAGTGCCCCCACCTTCACAGAGACAAATCCAGTCTGAATGGCTCTGGGTTGCACAGAGAAAAACAAATGTTTTTTGGTAATATTTACCCTTCCCTCCAGCACTATCTGAATACCAGAGCTGTGTAATCAGGCCAGAGAGTCCATGTTAGATCCACAGAGGTGAGCATCACATCCAAACATGGCCATTGGAAAAGGGTTTCTGCTCCAGCAGAGTTCCCCCCCCACCCCAGCTAGGTCTTTCACTGCTAGACCCCCACAGTGAGGCTGACAGCCAGAAAAGCACCTGCCTGTCTCGCCAAAGCCTGTCAATAGGCTGCCCAGCT